TTTTAAAGAAAAAATAAGAGAAGACAGTATACATGTGCAATCGTATTACTTTAAAATCGAATACCCCTCGTCACACCTAATATACATCCCCCCCAACCCCCCCAGCCTTCCCTCCCCCGACTTCCCAGAACCCATACACGGTATAAATCTTTAACAAAAACAGTCTAAAATATATTGGAAAAAAGAGTAAAAAAAAATTGATAATTTCTTTATATTGAGCTTAGCTCCTCCTTGCTAAACTAACTTTAAACAATTTATATCAGTCCTGGTGTTAATCATAAGCTATCTGGAATTTCTTATTGCTAGTCTATTTTTGAACGCTCAATTCTAGAATTAGCCCACTAATTTTGTGTGTAAAGTGACCATGCATATCATATCTTTCATTGCTACATTATCTTCTGCATTAAATAGAAATGCACATGTTGCGGACTAATTGTTCTGAATATTGCACACGAAAACAGTGAAAGGATAAATTAGCTTTTTATAGGAGAAGGTCCTTTTTACAGCAAAATGTAGTGTCAAAAGTACAATAATTTGTACTGAAGATGGCAAATGGTATTTGGTATTTTTCATTTTTGTCTTGGAATTTTGCTGAGGCTTCATATGACTCATAGACTGAAATAACATTGAAATTAAAAAATAAACAAATAGAAAGGAAAAACATTAATATATAAAATGAGCAAAAAAAGTCTATATAGGACTTTGATTTTTCCAAAATGAACATTATAACCATCTTATTTATTTTAAACATAAAAAAGTCTTATGAGAAAATATAGAATCTATCCTATATATTATTCAGAATAACCTTATCAATATTAAGGAGATATATTTCCATAGTTACGAAGTTAAGCGATATGTTAATTACAGTGACCATATGTGACATTTTGGTTTGGCCAAAAAATTCTCAGTATGAAAAATCTTGTGTGCTACTGTTTTTGACCCATCAGCATCCAATATAGACCCCGTGCAAAAGCTCTCCCACTCCTTATACTAGTCAGTGTTTCTCAGGCCAAGGAAAAAGGCAGGCAGTGGCAAACTACTTTTGAAAATGCTGTCAAGAAAACTGTAGGGAATTGTTTAGCAATTGCCAGGTGTCAAAGCTGACTCAAAGGTACACACACACGCGCACATGCTGTACAGGAAGGACTGCAGATGAGATAAGGAAGTAGGTGTATTAGTCTTTGAATACCAATGATGGTATACTGTTACATCTTAAAAGCATATTTTTCCTTTCTTTCTAGAAATGGCCCAGCTGAATAGTTGTGATAGTCCAGATACTCCAGAGACAGATGATTCTGCAGAAGGAAAGGTAGTGATTTATCAGCCCCATTCCATAATACAAAAACATTTCTGCACTGTTATTAGCAAAGTTTAAGTTGTGCACATGTACATTTTTTCTAATGATAATTGCAGTGGATATAGAGTTTCTACACACCCCTGTTAAAATGCCAGATTTTTGAGTGCAAAAAATCAGATCAAGATAAAGCACTTCAGAATTTTTTCCACCTTTTCTATAACATACAAGCTGTTACAACATACATGCTAGTATAATATACACATCCACATCCAGTTTGTTTTTCCATTGGATTGCACAAAGATGGAAAAATTCTGGTGATTTATTTTGGTCTGATTTTATATAATGGGTTTTATAATGGGAAATATTTAGAAAATGAATCGAAAATTAAATTTGTTAGAGTGGCCATATTTCTGTTTGATAAATAGCAATAGCACTTAGTCTTATATACCACTTCGTAGTGCTTTACAACGCTCTCTAAGTCAGGGGTGTCAAACTTGCATTGTCACGGTGGCATCACTGTGATGTATTGGGACCCCCCCCCTTTGCTAAACCAGGTGGGGATGGGCCAGCACATGATGGATCTGGCCCACGGGACGCAAGTTTGACACCCCTGCTCTAAATGGTTTACAGAATCAGCATATTGCTTCCCACAATCTGGGTCCTCATTTAACTGACCTCAGAAGGATGGAAGACTAAGTTAACCTTGACCTGGTGAGGATCAAACTACTGGCAGTCAGCAGAATTGACCTGCAATATTGCATTCTAACCACTGCGCCACCACAGCTCATAAAAAAATCACGTTAGGTTGGAATTTTGAGAAATTACTCTTATTGTCACACTCTCTCTCACACAAACACACATGCACACATGCACACATCATCATATCTTTTTGTAGGAAGTGTGACCTCATTTAACACTAAAGGTATTACTGTTCTGGACTCTGTTGACTTCTGAATCAACAGTCATTTAATTTTTCTTAGGTTGAGTCTCAGCCTATTTCTTTAAGGAGTTGGGTTATCTGTGCCTTTTTGAAGAATGGTTGTATTAGCTCATCTTGCAAGGAGGCATTCATTAGAACTGAGATCCAGTTCCTTATCTACTCCTTCACAGTTTGTATCAACTAGGAGGGCCAGGGATCCAATCCACAAGTGGGCAGTCCTTATTTCACCAAGCACTCTGTTCATTTACTCAGGTTGCCCGCTTCAAGCTCCTTCCAATTTTATTATGGAAATTGTCAGGATAGTGATAGAAAAATCACAAGTAACTTTAGCAGCACAATGAAATCATAATATTCTATTCATTTATACATCCAAAGAAGAATTGAGTTGATGGTTAATATCAGTTATCTATTGAATAGATTAAAAGTGGAATGAAAGCTATTTTTGCTATTTTCAGAATCGGGGAGCAACTGTGCAATCTAAGAAAACACCATCAGAAGAAGAGTTTGAAACTATTAAATTAATCAGTAATGGAGCATATGGGTAAGACTAATAAGTTATACTAGAATTTGTTTTTTTTAAATGAGATTTTAAAAAATAGGTTAATGATGTGAGAATGCCAATATTTGTATGTTAATATTTTAAAATGGCTGCAGAAGAGATTGTATATGCCATTTGTTTTGCAAATTATAGGAATGAAACTGTAGGCTCTTTTCTAACTTTACAATGCTTCCCGCTCTTGAAATTTGTGATAGCTCTGCAGTAGAATAAGGCTGGTTCCTTTGGTGATTCTGCCGAAACCTTGGAGGAGAGTAACAGGATGAGAAAATTAGAGTGCCATCCCTCCCCCACACTGCTGTTTTAGAGTGAAACAAACCATTATTGGGAAGTGCCACAGTAATCTTGCTCAATTATTACAAAAGAGGTGGAAATGAGCCCTATATCTCTAGGATCACACTTCCATGTGTGAATTTCATGATTAAAGCTCTTGTTCAATACAGTATCTTGGATCAAAATTAAAACTACAAATGGAAAAAATAGAAATAGAATTGAGATCTGGAGGCTGCCTCTGAGGCAACAGGCAACTAAATACTTGCACATCAGTTATCCCCTGATCAAGCAGATGCACCAGTCCATCAATGAGTCCAATTGTCAAGCTGCAATTTTTCCCTTTGTAATTCACTTGCCAATCTCTATAATTAGTTAGCTTCTGAATGGCTCTCTAGATGTACCAGTTGCTTCTTCTGTTCCTGCTATTTCCCCACAAAGTTCTACCAAATGTTGAGCCTAAACTGATAGCAGCAGGACCATATCTAGAAAATGTTTTGACTTGTGCTGACATCATCCTAAACTAGCTGTTCTGATTACAGAATTGTTTATATGCAGAATGTTTTGCAAATCCCAAATAAATATGGATGTGTAGCTATTCAGATTTGAAGCAGAAAAGATCCTTTGGAAGGGATCTGATTGAACACATTTTCTCTACCTATCAGCTGAAGGAGGTCCTGATAGGAGCTTTAGATGTACCTTTTCTCTTTTGGATTAAATGGCTGCACACCTCTACCTGAAAGACTATTTCAAAAAAAGGAAAGCGGCCAGTTTTTTCAGAGGAATACCGAGTCAAGCAAAAGAGTATTTAAAAAATCTTAATACACAGGGAGTTGATAAAAATAAAAATAATATTTGACTATAGAAGTTATATTTGAAGTAAAAGTTACATATGAATGAAACAGATTCAGTATTTCAAATTTCGTAATGCTAACTTGGTAAATAGATTTATTTCTAAGAGTCTTTTGTTTTTTCTTGGTACCTACTTCATTCCTGATTACTGAATCCCACATAAAATTCTATCCTTTACTATAAAAGAATTAACTTTAAAATTCAAGCAGAGCCTGGAGAAAAAAGACAAATTACTTGGTGCTAGTTAATCCTGTCCATTTTGTGAGTTCTTTCTAGCTTTATCGACTGGTCAAACAGGTGAAACTTCAGATGTATTCTTTCTCATTTCCTGTATAACATATTGTTCATGTGTTACCATAGTGCAGTGTTCTTGGTGCGCCACCGGAGTACACGTCAACGTTTTGCAATGAAGAAGATTAATAAGCAGAACCTTATTTTGAGGAACCAAATTCAGCAAGCTTTTGTGGAGAGGGATATCCTAACTTTTGCAGAAAATCCTTTTGTTGTCAGCATGTTTTGCTCCTTTGAAACCAAGCGGCATCTTTGCATGGTCATGGAGTATGTGGAAGGTATCCAAAATTTACCCAGACATTATAGTAAATATATTAATCAAAATGGGAAGAGATGTATTAATCATTAGGAAGAGAGAGATTAAATATGATGATTCATTTAGCTGCTAGGGTACTTCCATTATTTTCTCAGTCTAGGATTTGTTTCATATCTTTCAAGATAGAATGAATATATTGTGCTACAAATCTAGCTCTGTTCCATCATATTTCAGTAATATATTCCAAGCCTGTATATTTGTCCATCACTTTATTTTGAATGAAAGAGATCTTACCAACAGAGTTGGTATTTATTAACAGCAGCTAAAGCAATACAGCTGGTTGTGGAATGAGCTAATTGATCCAGAAGAGGAAACAGGCACCAAATACTTCCCACTGATTTTTCCTAATGCATTACCACCAAATTATATTCCTGTCTGCCTCACATTTCCCTGGTCTTCCCCCATATCATTATCTGTTTAGCATTGTATTGCAGAGTAGGTGGAAATATCTTATTTTTTGCTCCTTTTATATATTAACGTAATATTTCTCAGTTATGTGCACCTATTGAGAACGAATCTAGAAACTGATCTATTATTTTTACAATAATGCATTGGACTAAAATATTGGAAAAACATTCGGTCCAATAAAATGACATTCAAAATTCCTAGTCTAGAGTTAGTTTTTCTTTTGATTAGACACAGATAGGAATATACTGTATATATTAACATGATATACTGTCAGCTTTGTATAGTCCGATAGTGAATGCAGAAATTATGTTTTTATTGTGATCTAGGAGGGGATTGTGCAACTCTTTTGAAGAATATTGGAGCATTGCCTGTAGATATGGCAAGAATGTATTTTGCAGAAACTGTACTGGCATTAGAATACCTCCACAATTATGGAATTGTCCACCGTGATCTAAAACCTGACAAGTATGCTTTTAACTTCTCATGTTTGTACTTGCAGTTGCAGCTGTTCATTCTAAAAATATCTGTAGCAACAACTTGTACTATTTTTCTCCTCTGTAATGGCACCCTTTCATTACAATATTTATTCTTGAATTGCTTCTTGACAAATATCAGATTGTGATTATTTCAATAAAATTTATTGAAAAACTATTCTTTCATTAATTGTGTCTTAAATTTAAAGTGAGGCATTTCCACAATAGGAAAGTTTTGATTGTCCTTCTACAAGGACACTATATTTAATATCCAGTAAAAGTGTAAGTTGAACAGGGCTATAATTTTATCATTTTAAACACATGTACTTGGCTCACACCTTTAATGTGTGAGACTGTAAAGCAAAGAATAAAGATAGAATTTAAATTAGTAAGAATTTAAACTAGTAAGAATGTAAACTTTCTGGAAGAAAGCAATGAAAAATCAATTCTGTAATACTGGCAAGAAATGTACATGGATGCAGTAACCAAAAATCAATTCAAGAGCATTTTTTTAAAAAAGCTCATTGATTTAAACTAATTTGTTTAAAAGCATTACTTGGTTTGGGTCCAATTCAGTGTCTGTATATAAAAGTATTCAAATCTGACTCAAATTAGACCCTGATTTTTTTCTTTAAAGTGTTATGTAGCAGGTAATTCCTTTTATAGCATGGCTTAGATATACTGTATATATAAATGGCGACTGTTAGTTTCATGGACAAATGGGGAAATGTATGTCAAAAGTCATATTCTGATGAAAATATTAACCTCATAGTCCATGTGCTGATAATAAATGGTAATAGAATTGCCAGTAATCATAGCCAAAAACAAACAGGCTAGGATATAGCTAATTCTGGCTTTCTTTCATTTTTGATATATCTCATCACCAAGGAGGCAGATTGGGGGGTTGGAGGGGTGGAAGATTCCTTGAACAGCATATATGATTGGAGGCATAGCTGAATGGGAATCTTTTGTGCTTTGTACCATATTTTTCGGAGTCTAAGACGCATCGGAGTCTAAGACGCATCAAGGTTTTGAAGAGGCAAATTTTAAAAAAGTAGGTAGGTAGGTAAGTAGATGGATAGAGAGGGAAATAAAGAGAAAGAAATATAGTAGGTAGGGAGGGAGAGAGAGGGTAGGTAGGTATGTAGGTAGATAAAAGGATAGAGAGACAGAGACAGAGAAATAGAGAAATATAGTAGGTAGGTAAGGAGAGAGAGTATGTAGGTAGTAGATAGAGGGATAGAAAGAGAGAAATAGAAAAAGATAGATAAATACAGTAGATCGGTAAGGAGAGAGAGAAATACAGTAGATAGGTAGGGAGAGAGAGTAAATAGGTAGGTAGATGGAGAGAGAGAGAGAGAGAGAGTAGTAGGTAGGGAGAGAGTGAGAATAGGTAGGTAGATGTTTCCAGGTGTATTTATCCATGTGCTGGACAAATAAATCACTGACAATCTGTAGCACCTAAGACTTTGCTTTTGCTGGCACAGCACTCGATCAATCTAATTCTCATCTATCACTTTAACTAAAGAGCTTTCCGAAAGGCGGGGGGAGGAGTTTTTGCACTCTGCAAACCTCCCCAAAACAGCCCGTTTTTTGTGAAAATGGGCCTGTTTTTTTTTTTTAAAAAGGCATGAATAGCCTTGGGGAGGGGCTTGCTGGGGGGTCAACAACGAGCAAAAATGGTCCATTTTTTGTGAAAACGGGCCTGTTTTTTGTAAAAAAAATTGCATGCATAGCCTTATAGAAGCTTATAGAGTGCTGCTGGGGGCTGGGGGGGGGGGCAAAAAACAGCCTGTTTTTTTGCTCATTTATGCCCTCCCCAGCAGCTCTCCATAAGGCTATTCATGCCATTTTAGTGAAGGGGGTGGGACTTCAGGAGGCAAAAAATGCTGTATTCGATGTATAAGACACACCCAGATTTTCAGCCTCTTTTTTGAGGAAAAAAAGTGTGTCTTATACTCCGAAAAATACGGTAGTTACTTTTACCTAAATCATTGCCACAGTTCAATAAGAGCTTTCTAAGCTTAATTCCCATGTAAGGCAGGTTGTATAGATGGCTTCATAATAACTAGCATGTAAAACACATAGAAATAGATATTTCAAATGTTACTGAATGTTTACTGCATTGAAATAGTCCCTTTTAAGATTTTAGTATCTTATGTTAGATATTTTCTACAGTAATGAGATATTAAAGTTGTAGGTAGTTCTCGACTTATAACCATTCATTTAGTGATTTCCAATAGTATTAAGAAAACCTATGACCACTTTTCACATTTATGACCATTGCGGCATCCCCATGGTCATGAGAGTTGCACTGTTCCACACAGTTTTAGGGTCATGTAATTACTATTTGTAAACTTCCAGCCGGCTTCCGACAAGCAATGTCAATGGGAGAAGCCAGATTCACTTAATAACTGCATGATTCACTTAACAACTGTAGCAAAAAGGTTGTACAATGGGGCAAACCTCACTGAACAACCTGCCTTGATTAGCAACAGAATTTTGGGGCTCACTTGTGGTCATACGTCGAGGACAGCCTGTGTAATATTTGTTAGAGGGTGTTGACAAATAATAGCATGGTATTGTGGCATGGTTAAATGTTCATAAATGGTATTATAATACTAATCTGTATTCCCCTTTTTCAGTCTTCTCATTACCTCAATGGGTCACGTCAAATTGACTGATTTTGGCCTCTCCAAAATTGGCTTAATGAGTTTGACAACTAATCTGTATGAAGGTCATATTGAGAAAGATGCCAGAGAATTCTTGGATAAGCAAGTAAGCCAAAATTACAGTTTTGAAATTACTATGCATATCTGCATATATTAATTTTTAAAAACTGCCTAAAGCAAATATATTCAACATGGGTTTTATATCTTGACCCAGAAACAGCACAGTAAAATTGAAGTTTTAACTCCTTTAAGTATAGCAATGAAAAATTCTGTTCAGCTTGGACAGATTTAAATTAATCAAATCAAATCAAATTAATCAAGTATTTAATTAAAATATTTACTTTTTTTGTAATGAATAATGAACCCGTTACACATTGTTTAAACACAATTTACATTGTAGTTTTATAGTTTGAGTTTCTTCATTAGAGATTTTCTGCATCCTAACATTTTTAAATTTTCTTTTCAGGTATGTGGGACTCCAGAATACATTGCGCCTGAAGTAATATTGCGACAAGGTTATGGAAAGCCTGTGGACTGGTGGGCCATGGGAATAATCTTGTATGAATTTTTAGTTGGTTGTGTTCCTTTTTTTGGAGACACCACAGAAGAGCTATTTGGGCAAGTTATTAGTGGTAGGTATCCAACTTTTATAAGTATTAAATGTCTTCTTCAATTTGATAAATGGTTTAAAAATCATTTAATTAAATAAGGACAATATTAGTAATTTAGTATCATTATTTAGTTAGCTTATCTGATTTTGGAAAATGGGTACTGTCTCCTTTAGCCCAAGGTAATTTCCCCAGCAATACAATAAAATCAACATTAAAAAGCAAATGTCATACATCAATTCAGTTAGTGCAAGAAAAGCAAGAGATGCATATATTTCATTTGGAAATTAAAAGTTTTGCTTCTGTTCTTCATTTGTCAACTATCTAACCTGAAATTTGCACAGTTATCCATGAAATCACAGAAGTAGAGCCAATTACACTCGAGACTTCACCTACAATATAATTTGGCTAATTCACCCATGTTGGCAGTAGTAAAACAGAACATGGGTACTTTGGGACCATACCAAAGATCTGCCTCATTGATGTAGCCAACCAAATATATAGGTATTGTATGTTTTTAAATGGGACAAATAACTATTTTAACGTGGCATATTACACAGTTCTTATTGTCTCTGATCCAAAAGGGTGTTGCCAATTTTTTATTAGTTTCTGCTGTTGGCCTATGGATTATATTTTATGGTTTTTGAATTCTTTCCAAGTTTGGCAACATTTGGAAGGGAGAGGCAGGAAACCCCTGTACTGTGAGTGGAACTACATTCATAGAGAGTAGGATTCAAGATGCTAAATGTTATAAAAAGAATGTAGAATTATAAATTAATATAAATTAATATAATATAATATACATATACATATATATTATAATATAATATACATATACATATAATATACATATACATATACATATACATACATACATACATACATACATACATACATACATACATACATACATATATATATATTATAATATAATATAATATAATATATATATGCTGGTCTTGTTGTATTCGGGTCTTTTCCCGTGTAAGATTGAGATTGTCTTGGCAATGTTTCGGCGAGGTCTCACTCGCCATCTTCAGGCTGGTGTTTTTGGCTTCGGCTGGTGTTTTGGTGCCGAAAATGGGAAAAGACCCGAATACAACAAGACCAGCATACCTACACCCGTGAAAATCTACGAAAACAAATACACACACACACACACACACACACACACACACACACACACACACACACACACATACATACATGCAAAAAAGTATTTAGTCAGCCACCAATT